ATCGGTCAATCGAGATACGAACGTAGAGAGGTTCCCTCCGATTGGCTCCCCGTCGCGCTACGTCACTGCGTCGCCTCACACCTGTTGCCCTGAATAGAGCACACCGGTGATACGTCACTGGCCGTAAACTGTTGGCACGGCTCACCTGTTGGCCTCAGCAGTGCTTGGCTAGGTTCTTGAGCGTGCGGTTCCTTTCGCCCGGTCTCTGCTTCGCGGTCACTTTGGTTATTGTGTTTCCCCCTCCCCTCTCGGAACGTCTCACGGGGCACCTTCGTCGCGAGCTCTGGTCGTAACCGTGGAAACGTTCGTCGATTTTCCCGGTGCCGGTACCCGGGTGTTTCGCGTCGTTTGGAAACCGTCGGACGACGCCCACGAAACGGAAACCGCCTCCGAGGGAAGAAAAAAATACGAATCGACGAAGGAATAGGCAGTAGGAGACTTTCCACCGAGATTCCTGAACGCCGTGGATCCGAGTCGAGCCCGGATTGTATGCAAATACGCGGGGAAATATCCGCAACGCAGCTCGCCTCGTCCACCTTTGTCCAGCCTCCGATCGCCGATCGTGTCGTATATTCACGCCGCTGAGGAGGTCCGCACCGAGGCGATCGTGCATACCGCGCGATCGTTTTGCGCACAGGTATTTGGCCAGCATCATTTACCATCTTTTCCCATCGACCGTAGCCACCGAGCAACGAAAATATTCACCCGCGACACTACGCGTCGATATTTTTCTTCGTATCGCGATCGTCTGTGCACGAAATCGATTTATGTGTGTCGTCACTGAGTTAGAAAAATATTTGAACGCTCGTACACTGGAGTCTACCCAGATTTATAAAAATTATATTCTAATCGACAGTGATTGAAAAGTTGTTATCGCGTTGGAGAAATATTCCGGACACTTGTACATACGTTTGTCAGTTCGTTAAAAGAATTCGTGAATCCGAGACACGCGTTATGTTTACAAACATTCCGAGTGTACTACAGAAAATTCTTCGTAATTTCTCAGTTATTGTATCACAGTACATATTTGGTACGGTGTAACCTTCTCGGTTGTGTGTTCATAAAATTAACGTATATCTTTAATAAATGACTCATCGCGTTGGAGAAGAATAAAGTAGGAAAGAAGATATAAAGAAAGAAATGTTTGTGTACTATTTATAACCGTCGTGTTTCGGTGTCTCGTGTCTCGTGTCTCGTGTCTCGTGTCTCGTGTCTCGTGTCTCGGGATTCGACCAGCGAAGGACACGGCACGGTCGAAGATTCCTTCGAAGCGTTCGAGGAAAAAGGAAATCGTATTTAGGTTTTGTGTAGTAGCCACGACGGTAGCGATGCGAAACTCGAACTGTGTGCTGCGGTTTGACCTTCGTGCATTAGTCGATCGCGGTGGAAAATGGGTTTCGTGGAATCCAACGTCGAGTCGTGCGTATTTGTAAACAGTTTCACCGTCTGTTAAGCGTAGTCCAAAGTCGGAACGTAACCTTAAATTCACCGATCGCTACAGCGAAGCCATCGAGACACCAAAACGTTCGTTCCACTCTTCGAAATTTACTGTTGGAAGCACGTAACAATTTCAGTAGGCAAAACCGACGTTTCACTTTCCAAATACGATTAAAAGCATGTTTAGATTTGATATTGCGAGCCGTTTCGCTTGTCAGTCGCGCGAATAACCTGAATGAGAGGAGATTACGTAACCTAACCAACAAAATTTAATCGAGGCCCGTAGAAATCGTAACCAGATAATCTAAATTGAATTCTACGTAGAAAACGTTGCAGTGTATCGTTAAATACGCGTTGATATAAAACAAATAAAACGGGAGGCACAGAACCGTGTAAAAGGTGAAGTGCAACTGATATGTTTCTATCAGAATCTAACCTCCATGCAATGTATGTGCATATTTGAGTTCATTCATTCCTTTATAGCGTCTGCGTGTTATACAACGTGCGACCCAAGTTATGCTGCAACCGGGAAAGGAATAACTCTTTCCGTAATAATAAATTGAAAAAAGTTTCTTTCGGCAAATCGATTCTGGAAAATTTTCAAATTCCATTCTGCGTGGATGCAGCCTCGAGAAAAGTTCGACTTTTATTTATTTATCCTCTGACGTTAAAAATACGATATTTGTTAGTTTTAGTATTATGTAACATATTTGCTTCGCGTATTTATTTATTTTACAACAAGTGTAGCACGGATCACTGACTTCTGATATCTTGATATTAATTGCTTTCCCTTTCACAACTTGCGCCAAGAGATTCTCTAAATCAATTTATTATGTATTACAACGATTACTGTTGCAGAAACCGAGAGGGAAATAAACTCGTGGCATTTTACATTTTAAAGTAACATTATTTACTTCGTTGATATTTTTATCGGTCACGGAAAACAAGTTGGCTACTTTGAACGCTTGCAAAATGATAAATGTGAAGTTCGCGGGATTTACGCGTGAAATGCTGAGTCTATTTATCGTGTATGTACAATCTGGTAGACAAATATTATTATTATTATGGATAAATAGAAAACAGTAATCGTTTAAATAAAATTGCGATTAATTGGGAAATCTAAAATGTATGTAACGTGACTCTCAGATGTTTTCAGTAAAATTATTATTAAATTATTATTATTATAGAGTGTTCGACCATGTCTGGGAAAAATTTTAATGAGAGATTCTAGAGGCCAAAATAGGATGAAAATCAAGAATATCAATTTCTTGACTGAGGCTTCGTTAAAAAGTTATTAACAATTAAATTAACAAATTTCAAATCGTTCTAGAAAAATTATTTTCGGTTCTGGGGCTCAATTGCGATCATTTTTGGTGAACACACATACCTTCAAAATCCTACCCACTTTCGAGAAAAAAAATCGGTAAGTGGACCAATTTTTTGTCGAAATTAAAAAATTTCAAATCATAGTAAAAAAATTATTTTCTGTTGCGGGGGTCAATTACAATCATTTTCGATGAATAGACATACCCCCGAAATCCTACCCACTTTCGAGAAAAAAATTCGAGAAGGTGTGAAATTTTTCGACAAAAAAAAATGTCAAATCGTTTTGGAAAAATTATTTTCGGTTGCGGGGGTCAATTACAATCATTTTTGGACATTACACAGAACCCCGAAATCCTGCGCATTATCGAGAAAAAAATTCAGTACTGGCGGAACTTTAAATGTTAATAACTTTTTAACGAAGCCTCCATCAACAAATTGCTATTCTTGATTTTTATCTTATTTTGGCCTCTAGAATCCCCCATTAAAATTTTTCCCATGGTTGGCTGTACACCGTGTATATCGTTTTTCGTGCGACGCTAACAAGCTTATACTGTCAGTATAAGCCTAATTAATAATCAAATTCTGACATTTCTGATAGAATGAACGATGGAGGTATAAAATTTGTTTTTGCAAACTTTGTCCACCAAAATTATTTTCTTCCTCCGTTTACATAATTTTGTATAGCATAACCTCTAATTATAGGATATCGCGAGTCGTAAAATGATAAGAGGTTATCGCACTTGAGGCGATACAAATCGATATTTATTTATCAGCAATCTGTTCTTTTCATTTCGTTAAAAATTTCTTTATTTCGTTTACTTTTTCTACACGCGTGTGTTCCCGCGCGCCATGTTCTCTGGCTGTTATAATCGCTTGAAACACGATAATGCGGTATCGATATCTGCATAAAAGGATACCGACGCGCGTGATATTTTTATTTCTCCACGCTGCAATGCAATACAGGCGACAGAAAGCATAACGGCGTTGCGCGATTTTCTCGCCGTCGAATCTATTTACCTGTGCAAAATTTACTTCGTCAGCGGGATAGGTGAAAGCAATTCCCACAGCGCCGTAAGGATTACCATACTAAACATTTGCCTATAAGCCGTTTCGAACCGGCGCGAAGACCGTTTTTAACGTATGCTAAATTCATCGAACGTTTGGGTCGCTCGATACTTGCGCGACCAGTTGGAAAATTTGCCTCTAAATCGATTCCAATCGCGTTACTCGGTCGATTCGTTATTCCCGCGCGCAAAAAAAAATAATTGAACAAAAATTACGAAATCGAAATAAAAAGAAATATTTCGTGGGAAATATTCTTCGCGTAAAAATTAATTTCACATTTTTTTTTTATCCAAGGTCGTTCAAGATCGTCGAACTTTGATGAACTCGGAAATAAATTGTTTAAAAAAAAAATCAAGTTTTTAAAAAAATTTCAAATTTGAGATACGACTTTGTAAATTTTATTGCTTTCCCCAACGTATTAATATTTTTAACATTTATCGATCGTCAGTCGTTCGACTTTTAGCAGTAAAAATAGTATGAAAAATATTTTCGAAGAGTTTAGTTTTGTAACATCGAAAAATGAACGAAACATATTTCGAAATACCGCACATAATTTTCAGTCCATTATTCGTATACAAGATCGACTTACGTTTGGTTAGAGCGCGTGGACTGATCACTGTCACGATGTTTCGTTAGAAAGATTATAGTTTTAACACTAACTCGGTCAACCTTTAACTCGTACAAATATAGATAAAACAATTCCAAGCTCGGTATCGCCAAAATTCGAACGAATAAACCAGATTAACGAGTCCAAGTATAACCTAACCTAATTGTGAACACGCGGGACCCGACTCATGGTTGAACGTATGCTGATTGGATCCGGATAGTGCGAGGAACAGAGGTCGATTCTCAGATCCAACTCGAGCATAAATTAACCACACTGTGGAACAATGAAGGAATTGTTGAATTCTTTAATAACATTAAACTACCAAATCACTAATAACTATTTTTATTTTGGTTATAACAGAGCAATTAATCAAAATAAATGGACTCTTGTTCGAAGACTAATCGCAAGCCATTTTAGAAATTTATTTACTTCGATTTTCCATTACTTTGATCGATTAATAATTAATATTATAATCTTACCAATTTTATCGGACTGTTTAAGCAGTGGAGATTTTTTAGGTTAGTTTCTCATAAAGAATCGCTGGACTACACCAGTGACTCAGCTGTCATCGCCCTACGGACGATACTAACCTCAAAAAAAATAGTGTCCAATTGTTTTCCACTTTTAAAAACTATTTCTGACAGTTGGCACGTCGCAAAAACGAAAGTCTCGGTGGTCGACGCTTTTTGTTTCGTTTGCAAACACTCGGGGAAAGCTAGGAAAGTGGCATGTTTTACGGAACGAGCTCCTTAACGCTGAGAACAAAAAGTTAAACGACAATAAAAGTAACCGTGTATCACGGATTCGAAGAGTAAACGCATAAACGCAACTGAAAAGCAAACGATCGTTCGAAACTTTTCTACCAAGCAAACGAACAGATTTACGAGTCTATAAAATTTATTTTGGAACAGAGGGAAAGGTTATGTTCGTTTATTTACTTTAAAAAGTGTATTTGAATGAACGACGCGTGGCACGATATTTCATCGATGGAAAAAAATATTTATAATTTGTGGCAGGTCGTGGCGATAAGATAGTAGAAATTTTCAAGTGTTCTCGTTTCGAATTTATCATTCACAAATCGATGCATAAACAGTGAAAGCATGGAACGCGAGGAGTCGTTGAGCGAAGAAGCGTCGATCCATCGTCGGGAATTTTAAATCGCTATCCGACCAGATATGGAAAGGAGTTATCGGGAAAACTTGTTAAGGAAAGAGATAACGGTACGTAGATACGGCATAGATATTTGATATGGTTAGAAATTGTGCAGATACCGCTGTGCACGTAACCGGCAAATGTATTCGAACGAGAACGTGTTTGTTGATATTTGTCGCCGTCGCGTTCTGTGAAACTTTTTGCTTGTTTTACGCCAACTGTTCGCTGTTAGTGTTTACTATACCACGCTGACTGTCGTGGAAATCGAACGATGTCTACGGATCACGACGCAGAAAGTAAGTTTATTTTCCGTCGCTGTAATTAATTTTCCTTCAGTTTGTACAGACCTTCGAACAAACTATTAAATTTCAATTAAAAAATTCAACGATTCATATTAATATTACGTCTATGGTAGATCTAAGATTTATTGGATTGGAAATAAAATTAGTTTCGGTAAGATGCGTTGGTTTCACGAGAGCGTTCGATAGATAGAAAATAGGGGGACGCCCCTACACACATGACTGGTACTGTTACATAAATACGTATTGCACAGCTGTCCCCGAAGTAGGCCATTCCGCACAGAAAACGTTCGTACGCCTAGCGAATTTCCGAAGATGACTAAAAAAACTGAAAGCCCGTAAAATTTTATTCAAGAACTCTGTCAATATTGACTGAACTGTCGTTCCTTGTCAATTGTATTTATTCGCAATCGTGGCGGTTACTTCCATGCTACAATGTTTAAAAATAGACCGAACGTAAGCGCGAATATCCCCCGAAGGGATCAAGAAGAATGTATTATGAATAATTGAAATTACGACGTGGATATCTGCTACGTAAATATCGATTTTACATCCTTTTTATTACACGTATGACAACGTGGAATTTTCTAACCTTTTTATCTTACGTTATGTCCTTACGTCAATGTAGAATTTTCTACCCTTTTTATCTTACGAGAAATATTTTTCTTCGACAGGCGAATTTCAATTTTGTAGGTTATATCACGCATGCCCACTAGTAGTGGCTAGTGACAGCTGCGATCCATTTAGAACGTAGAATTGTCTAACCTTTTTAACTTACGAGAAACGTCTTCCTTCGACAGCAGAACATTGTAGGTTATGTCCTTCCGTCAAAGTAGAATTTTCTAACCTCTTTTACTTCCGAGAAACATGTACTTACCTTCAGCAGCAGAACATTGTAGGTTATGTTCTTCCGTCAAAGTAGAATTTTCTAAAATTTTTTACTTCCGAGAAACATGTACCTTCAAGAGCAGAACATTGTAGGTTATGTCCTTCCGTCTACGTAGAATTTTCTAACCTCTTTAATCTACGAGAAACATGTACCTTCAGCAGCAGAACATTGTAGGTTATGCCCTTCCGTCAACGTACAATTTTCTAACTTCTTTAACTTACGAGAAACATGTCCCTGCAGCAGCAGAACATTGTAGGTTATGTCCTTTATAACCGCTACTAGCGACGCCAGCATTCCACCTAGCGTGAACTTATTCTTCCAGTCTAAATAGGATGTCTGAAGAGTGTACGGCACCATATATCATTACATTTCTTTTTATTATAAATATAAAAAAATCACAAACTCTTCTCCGAGTCTTCTTCTCACGTCTCAGTTATATGTTTTAAAAAATATCGTCATCCAGTCGATTTTTACGGGTATAATTATTTTCCTCAAATTGTGCCGTGTTTGCTTGCTATATTCGCTATAAAATAAGAACGAGTGGAACGATGTGAGGGGCGTGGTCGTTGACGGGTACGTTTACCTTAGGGGGAGACGGTACGGACCGCGAATCGCGGGTACTCGGTGGATTTTTCTGTCGGCACCGTTACGTTCCGTTTTTTTCTCGCTCCACCAACACCGACGATGAGAGTCTGGCTCTTTACGCGTCACGACTCCGGCAGTAGTCAAACAATGGCGAGAGAAATTACGGTGCTGAATGTCGTGAGAAACTCCAGCGCGCCGTTGGCTCATTGTCAGACGCGAGCCCTCGTAATTGGCAAGGTGGTTTGGGATCTTGGTTCTCTTTATTTTGCGCCGCGAGAGTTTCGTCATTTGTAACCAAAGTCGAAAGGAAACCGCAGGAACGGAATTCTTTTCGAACTTCCCGCGCGCGTAGCGCCGCCATTGGTGGTTTCCACTCAAACGAACTTTTGCGTGCGGAATGTCCCACTTCAAAGCAGCTGTGCAACACGTATGGCATCTGTGTAACAGTACCAGCCATGTGCACAGGGACGCCGCTACGTTTCCCATCTATTCGATATATTTTCCAAACGAATTTTATTCTTTTAATTTATTTAATCAGAATCAGTTAACATCGACGGAGGTTAAGAAATATTTTTCCCAGAGATTTCTCGTCTCGAATTGTTTATCAAGTCATAAGTGGCGACAAAAAATAATTCACGATGATTTATATGGCCTTCTGTCATCGTTCTGGAAAGAAATATATTCTGGATTCTTCGAACGTAAAAAACTTGCCTGCGTTTCACGTTGTCATCATTGTTGAATCAGTTTTTTATTCGAACACCATTGTGTAAAGTCGAAGCGTGGAGCGAGGGACTCTGTATGCATTCAGTGAATTGTAGTTCTCGATAACGTGGTAAAATCCAAACTATTATTCTCCTAACTGGTCATTTGCAAGCTGATATACAAAACCCAGAGAGATAATGGCGGTCGAATCTCGTCTGCCTGAGGTTTCCACAGACTCCGAAGCAAAAAAGAATTCTTTTAGCGTGAAAAATGCAGAGAGATCATCAAAATTATTATACTCGCGTACGCGGCGGTAACGGTAGCACTGGCCTAACTGAAAAGGATTGCAACAAGAAAAAGTCATCTTCCACCTGGGAGCACTGCAACCGGTTTTTTTAGAGCAACAGATGGTAAAATTTCAGCATTTGCTACATTTTGTCGGTCGTCTCGTTTGGAAAAATATTGAAATCGAAGATAAAAATTTAGTTCAACGTTAAAAATAATTCACGAATAATTGGAATCATGAAATCTTATTTAATTTGATGCCATTTTAAATATTTATTTTCTTTCCTGTTTCTACGAAAAATTATTATGTTATAAATTACTAGTTACTGGTGATTCGTTACCAATAATTTAATATTTCTACGTTTTGTCACGGACTTAGCTGGACTTATCGGTTCGACTTATCTAGAAAATCCAGAGCCTAAGGCGCGACGCCATTAATTCGTTTCAACGCTTCATTAAATAATATACATAATAATTGAAAAGTTGCGTTTGAAATCGTCGAACGCAAATAGGCCCAAGTAGAGCATAAAGGGCAAGAAATGTATTTAACGTTTATTAAATAGTTTCTCTTGGAACTCTCTTGGACTAATTATATACCATCGAGTCATTGGAAACGTTCAATAATCAATAATAATGGGCCTGGATGAAAGTCGTGACCGTTTTTTAAATGAAAAAGAAATAATAAAATTTTATTCACTTTCCATTCGTGTTAACAGCTTTTTTCAAGATCTCGATTTTAGATTATACAGAAAATCAAAGGTAAAACAAATATTGACTATGGATGCGAATTATGGTACAAAATGGCGGATCGTCGAACCAGTCGGAATAGATTGTTTTTTAAGCATCGTTATTTATTATAAACGTTGTAACGCGATCGGGATTATTTTTCACATTATTTATTATGATTCATATTCATTTTTTTTTTTTAAATAATAATTCGTCCACGAGGTGGTTGCAGAGGAGATCCAGACCTGGAGGGTTGGTGTGGAGCGAAACGAGTAAACCATAAAATTGTTGTCGCATGAGTGCACCGATGAACCGAAAACTCGTCCGCCAACGTTATATCTGCATGGCCGATTTAGGTACGCGCTCGTCACGAATGGAAAATTGTTGTAGGATACGCATGATCGCCCCATACAATACCTAAATATATTCGCTGTTTAATTGTGAAATGCTGCCCCGACTCTGTGGATTCAATTCCAAACCAAACAAGGTTAAGAATAATGCAACGTCAAAATCGTCGGAGCAAAAATATATTAACTCTGAATCTCTGAAATTTCGAAAAAAAATATTTTTTGAAAATTTTTGGAAAAAAACATTTTTTGAAAATCTTTTGAAAATTTTTGGAAAAAAATATTTTTTGAAAATTTTATTGCACTTCTGAACTAAAGAAACAGTAAAAAATTTGATCCCTGTAATACTTAGTGATATTTTGACAAAAAATAGTTTTCGAAAATCTTATTGCACTTCTCCTGCAGCAAAGAAACAGTAAAAAATGTGATGCATTCAATTTTTGTGTTAGAGCACTCTGTACAATTTTTTTTTTTTAAGCTAACCTGTCCCATTTTGGTTACTATTTCTCACTAAATGGCAGGAGCAAAAAAATTGATACTAAATATAGCAATAATTGCAAATTTCCTTAATTTAATTTGGGAGGGAGGGAGTAAGCTGCACGAAATATTAAATTTAAGACAGTTATATCTCTTGGATTATTCCAAACAGGATTTCTTAGTATCTTTAAATTAAAAATCCTTGAAATTGCAGGATCAGACCTTTCCGCGATGTTTGCATGCAGGACGTATCGCCTAAGCTCCTGACTAACACGCCCACCATATTAAACGAACTAATATCGAGTTCCAGATTACAAAGAGGTCCCGGTGTCATTAAGTGCTGACAATATCACTGGTAAAAATATCCTACCAGAGTTTATTACACGCGTTTCCCAGGCGTTGTTTTTCTTCTGTTTTTTTCGCCTTGAAACGAAGGTTCCATAAAAGCACGATTATGCCTACGAACGTTTACGAGGCAATTAGAATGCTCGTATCGCGTTATCTTTCGGTGTTCGAAACTGACGAAGACTAGGTTAGGTTCTCGAAGTTCCGCGAGACATCTGTCGCGACTCGAGACGACGCGGACGGGAGAAAGACGAACGAGAGGAAGCAGATCGAACAGGAAATTCATTGTGGAAAACCATCACGGTTTAATCGTTCCAACACGTAATAGGAAGGAATTGCAAATGAAGTTCTTAAGGACTGCGCTGATCTCGAAGCAGCCGGTGATGACACAAATGCAAATGGCTGAGGAACGTAGATGGGTTTCCTGAAAATTTGGTCGGCTCGTAATTCTTTTTTAGTGCAACGAATTTTTCTACAAACATTTTTGATCGGTTCTGGTCGCTTTTTTATTATTTATGACGACGCACGGGGAGGAGAAAAATTTATATAACCTGTAAAACGCAAACTGTCGAATCGATATATTAAATAGTATTTCTGTCGTAAAATTCCAAGCATAAATAAACTTTTAACGATACCAACGA